TACCTCCAAGTGTACTGCAGTGTACTGTCTCTGGGCGGTAATGTAAACACAAGACGGATTGCTATCATTACTATATACTTTTTATCTTTATAATTATTATTATTATTAATAATATTATAATCAAAATCATTTTTATCAAATAAAAGAAATATATATTTTTTTGAATCAGAGCCCAAAAATTTTGAGGTTTCTGTCCTTGAGCCTCTCAGTGACTGGGCTTTGTCTGGCCTGTCTTCTTCTCTCTTTTCCATTATATAAGCAGGTAAACATATGTTACAGTGGTAGGCGATTATATCAATACAATGAAGACGATTTTTGATTTCAATTTTGATTTATATCAATAAATAGCATGGATACACATAGAAATAGAAGTCAAGAGAAGCTGTCAATTAAAAAAGCTTCTCTTTAATTACTTGTAAAATTGTAATTCCACGGGCAGCCGTAGTACATTTGAATTTCCGAGCCAGGTCAACCTTTCCAGTCCCAGTTTGTACTGTACCTTTCTCTATGGACAGGACTAGCCGGTGCAACAAGGTTGACGCGGTCAGACTTTATGCTTCATATAGTTTGAATTTACTTTTACTAAAGGGGCAGAGGTGCGTGATTCGAAAAAAGCTTGTTAGTCATCAAAACTTAATGAAAAAAGTTGTATTCATTGTATTAATATAATATAATATGTTTGGCGCAGTTAACATATCAAGCAAAAAAAAATTATTTAGATTTTTTATGAGCCGAGAAAAAAAATCAAAATAAAAAAGTAGACTTCTGACATATTCAATTTGTGTTAATCCTTCAAGTCTCAGAAAATCCGCAATTTATATTATTAAGTTTAATCTTTTTCGTCAAAGTTTACGAGATTTGAGAGAAGAAAAAAAATCTTACAAAAAATTCTAGGAATTGATAGAAATTTTTTTTTATGCTCTTTAATTAAAAAAAGTTTCGCCTATTTTTTTTTTTTGGGGGGGGGGTACGAAAATTGGTTACGAAAATTCTAGCAATATTGCAAAAATCTCATTAATGACAGTTCGCGAAAAAAAAACAATATTTTGAAAGAGATCACACTTTTTTATTCACCCTGTATATATATCTTTTACACTTTTTGCACTTTAACCATGAAATCATGAGTTTTGGAACTTCTAAGCTTTGATGGTTTTTGACTTAACAATAAACATTTGAGAAACATTGCATGACTCTTATGCCTTTTAACGAGGGTTGATATGAAGTGTTCAAGTCATCCTCCAGGCAAAGATAACAATGCCCGATTTACAACGGTACTCTCAAAAGCTTTGTCTGATCAATTATTAATATGTTATCCATGTTTTTTGTTTATTTAAACTGTTTATTTTCATTTTCGATTTAACAGCGAGAGTGGCTTGTGCATTTCTTGCTTTTAATAAGCAATGGATAAATTCACAGAAATAACCACTTTTCGAGTCAGAAAAATTACGGTATCTTCCACATTTTTTTATCAGTTTTAGGTTTGGAGAGTCAATCATCCATTGCCATCTTTACATGGAGGGTCACTTAAAATTATGCTTACAGTCCCTTTAAGTCCATAAAAAAAATTTCAAAAATTATCGTTATAAAACCAGTTTTAAAACCCGGGTTTTACGTATGGGGTTTAGGCCGTTTTGTGGATATCAGTATTTTTGTTATGAAATATCTTTTTATTTAGTTTCTTCATATTCTCCATTTTTGTCGAATCTCTTATATCAAAATCTAAAAAATGTAAAGACCCTGCAAAAAGGGAAACTCGAGAGTTTCGTTCAACAATACTCTTTTAAATTTCGCATATATCAATACAATAAAGACGACTTTTGATTAACACGAAAATTTATATTAAGCTTTTAAACAGCATGGATACACATAACATGGAAACAAAGATAAAATGTCGATTAAAAAAGCTTCTTTTTAATTACTTGAAAACTTTTAATAAGAATAAAGCTTGAAAACAATCAAAATTTAAATAAAAAAGTCGTCTTCATTGTATTGATATAATCACCTACCACTGTAGTATGTCATGCTGAAAAGAATATTGTGTAATTTGTTGATGAAATAGGATTAGCTTAAGCTTAGATTAAATAATTTCATTTCATGGTATATTGTAGAAACATATCTCTTGATTAAATTTAATTTCAAAGGAGTTCGAGTCTTTGAATAAAACTTAAATTTTCCTATTCCTATATCTATGCAACCTATGTAGTAAACTTTTGATATTTCAAACTTCGATAATTTGATCAGAATTCATAGTTGAAATATCTAAGGTTTCTTGCATTGGTTTATAACAACATCAAATACACACAAGATGACAGCTCATAGCTTCTCTAGTATGAAGCTCATCAAGAAAATGAATTTTGATTAAAAGCATAAAAGATTTCAGTCTTAAATCCGCTATTTACTTTAGTTCAACCAAGGTACTAATGCAAGGAAAGTTAATTGCGGTCGCGTATACTCTGCGTACATATTGAAACCAGTTCTTTCTGGGGGGACTTTGTAAACAAGAATAGATGCATCAGTGTTCGTTTAGTACCCGAGGAGGTTAAAAGCATTTAATTTTGATAATTTTGATAATTCACATAACAGTTTCCTACGAACAAAATATTTCATTGATTTTTTATGTGAAAGATGGATCCCATGTCAGGCTGAAACATCCGTCTTGTGTTTACATTACCGCCCAGAGACAGTACTCTGCAGTACAAAAGATGCGTACACCTCTGTAATAACTTTCCTTGCATTAGTACATTGAGTTCAATGTGATACAAATATCAATTTTTCAGGTGCAAAAGGCCTCCAGGCTTGAATATATATCCGGATTTTTTACTTGGAAATTCCCCCTCACAGACACTCCTTTCCCAGGCTCGATCACAATAGGTTAGTATAAGTATAAAAATATGTTATTTATTTATTTTAAGAGACTGTAGGCGTAATTTTAGTAACCCGACAATTGACAACGGGTATTCTGAGCTGAACTGATAGTTCCTTCTTTTTCTAACTTAAAATTTATTGACAAAATTGTCTAGATTTTTAAGAAATAAATAGGCCGATATTTTCAAAATTATTACTGCAAATAAGTAGGCAGAACTTACCTTTGTGAATCTATTTAAAAGTTGCCTGATTCGAGCCTGTACAACATGTACTGTATATCCATTCAGTCGTACTGTTCATTCGATCTACCTAGTGCAAGGATATAATGCAAGGAAAGTTATTTCAGAGGTGTACCCATCTTTCGTACTGCAGAGTACTGTCTCTGGGCGGTAATGTAAACACAAGACGGATGTCTCAGCCTGACATGGGATCCATCTTTCACATAAAAAATCAATGAAATATTCATAGGAAACTTTTATGTGAATTATCAAAATTTGATGCTTTTAACTTCCTCGGATACACTAACGCTGATGAATCTATTCTTGTTAACAAATTCCGCCCAGAGAGAACTAGTTTCATTATGTACGCAGAGTATACACAACTGAAATTGACTTTCCTTGCATCATAACCTTGACCTAGTGTATAGCCGACCATAAGGTTGGGACTTTAATTACAAAAAACAAATCCAATAAAACTAAACCTTTAAGATAAAAATCTCTAATTTCAGGTTTTCTGGTTTCGCTTGCTACGACAATGCTAAACATTTCGGAGTTAGTTACACTAGCTCTAATCTTCTATCTAGCTAACTCAATATTATGTATGCTAGCTAGCTACTACTACATAGCTAAGGTATAGTTACACTAGCTCTTATCTTCTATCTAGCTAGCTCTATATTATGTATGCTAGCTAGCTACTACTACATAGCTAAGGTATAGTTACAGTATCTCTTATCTTCTATCAAGCTAGCTCTATATTATGTATGCTAGCTAGCTACTACATAGCTAAGGTATAGTAGTTACACTATCTCTTATCTTCTATCTAGCTTGCTCAATATTATGTATGTTAAAGCTAGCTACTTTTACATAGCTAAGGTATGGTAGTTACACTATCTCTTATCTTCTATCTAGCTAGCTCAATATTATGTATGTTAAAGCTAGCTACTATTACATAGCTAAGGTATGGTAGTAACACTATCTCCTATCTTCTATCTAGCTAGCTCTATATTATGTATGCTAACGACATAGCTTCTACTTTATAGCTAAGGTACAGTTACAATATAGCTCTTATCTTCTATCTAGCTAGCTCTATAGTATGTATGCTTGCTAGCTAACTACTACATAGCTAAGGTATGTAGTTACACTAGCTTTTATCATATATCTAGCTAGCTCAAGTTTACAAGTAAACAAATTGAGAAGCTGTAAATTGACAGCTTCTCTTTGCTTCCATGTTTATCATGCTGTAAGTCGTATTTATTGTATTATAGTTTGCAGTGGTATCCATGCTTTGTATATTTCTTTTCAAACTTCCCTGAGGTTCTCTAACTATAGCTGTCTTTTCTCATCTTTTTAACCCTAAAATACTGGGTGGTGGAAAGTTTATGATGATGAACCCCCCTCCCCCTTAACCAGGGGCGTATTAAAAAATTTGTCTTGGGGGCGAACACTTTTTTTTAGTTAAACGGGGAGGGGGAGAGGGGGGGCTTAACACTCCATGGAAATAATAGATTTCACTGCTCAATGAGGGTCTGAGCCCCATAACCCCCCCCCCTCTGAATACGCCTCTGCACTTAACGATTTTTGTTTAAAAGGCGTAATTTCCGTTGACCCTATTTATTAACGATTCACAATGTAACTCTTAAACATTGTTGGAGTTATTCCTTTTCTCCTTCTAGAAACTTGAGTAGAAACTGATTTATAGTTTTCAACTGTGGTTCTCCATTAGATCGAGGGACTTGCGCATTTATGCAGGAGACCAAAAAGCAGAAAATTGCCAACAAACGAAAATGACTATCTCATTAGTTTGCTCAATTTAAATATTATGACCGTTGCCTACAAATTTTAGGTGTTGATCGCGACAAATATTAGTTCTATCTGATGTCCCTGTCTCAAGAAATTGATATAAAGCGGTGACAAAGCTATAACAAAACTCATATAAATATAAGTGATATGATATATGAATAAAAGTATTAAACAGGTTGTATTCAGCAAATGCGGAACAAATATGAAATTAAGATAACCCAAAGATGCCTAAAAAATGTTAAATTTTAGTAAAATACTTATTCGTTTTTAACAGATAACAGCTAGATATAATTAATAATTTAATTGTTACGTCTGTGTCGCATGACCGGAATTTCCATCAATGGCAGTGGTATCTCTGACACAGTTTTATATCAATTTCTGGAGACAGGGACATCAGAAGAGCACTAATATAGGTTGTGATCAACTCCTAAAATTTGTAGGCTTCAGCCTATACCCTCTTCCATTTTACCTTAAAAGCCCCTGTAAAAGGTTATACTTTTTAAAAAATGATTTTTTATCTCAACATATTGTCTAAAATCTACATGAAATGTTAAAAAGAACTGTTCTTAGCTGCACCAAATTGATTGAATTGGCTCAATTACGTATACCGTCGTGGTTCAATCACCGATTCAAATCCTCATTCCTCTTAAATATTTAGCTTTGAATCAGTGATTCAGGATTTGCACCAGCGTGCCGGCTTGAAGGTAGTTCAAAGACCTCTCTCAAATTTATTTTATTCTGTCCCCGGTGTACTATGGTTAAAGCAACAGTAATTTTTGTATTCTATTCTGTCCCTGGTGTACTAGGGTTAAAGCAACAGTATATTTTGTATTCTATTCTGTCCCCGGTGTACTAGGGTTAAAGCAACAGTATATTTTGTATTCTATTCTGCCCCCGGTGTACTAGGGTTAAAGCAACAGTATTTTGTATTCTATTCTGTCCCGCGGTGTACTAGGGTTAAAGCAACAGTATATTTTGTATTCTATTCTGTCCCCGGTTACTAGGGTTAAAGCAACAGTATTTTGTATTCTATTGGTGGTTTATGCTAATTCATGCTAGTCCAGGCTATAACATGGGGTTAGGGGAGGGAAAGGATGGGGGGGGACCGAGGAGGTTTTAGGGGAAGAAAGGGAGACGGAGCTTGGGGTATATTTAGGGGAATTGAGGGGTATATGTGGAGAAAAAGGGGGCTAGTGGAGAAAAGGGGGTTAGGGTATTATTAGTATTATTATTATTATTATTATTATTATCAGAATGAAGAATCAAGCGGTGGATTTTGAAAAAGACGAATTCCTGGCATTGCTTCAGGTCGGTAGTCTAAATGGAAAAAACTTTTCACAAAAATTTAGCATTTTTCGCTTATTGTTGCAGTTTTTCGCGAAATGATCTTCTCATATTTTTTTTATCAAAATTCCGCACAGTTATCTCTTCCTTGCGCAAATTTATTCTCGCGAAAAAAATGCAAAAATTCGCGAAAAAGTTTGCGAATTACAATAGAAATTTTTGCGAAATTTCGCTTTTTTTGCGCGCGAAAGTTTTCTTTCGCTGGAAACCCTATCGGTTGTAAAAGTTTAAGGAATTGAGGTTTTGCCGCGTAAACATAAAATTTTCCTAATTTTTCTACTTGATGGTGTAAACCTTTGATGTTTTGATGTAACAGATTTTATGGATTAAAATATTAAAGGTCCCCGACATTGGAATGCAAAGTAACTGTGGCAAGAACTCAATTTCTTTTGTAAATTGAAAATAAAAATTGAAAAAGGCAAACGTTTTATATGAAGCAAAAATCTTCCATATTTTCAATTTGTTTCATCATTCTTACATCAAACATTTTTGTTTTTTAAAAATTTCTTGAATTTGGTTTCCAATAAGCATGACATATAATTACAGAATCTTTCCACAAAAAAAGATTTAAACAAATTTAATTTTTTTTGTGTGAGAATATTTTTTTTAAATTTTATGACAAATTAACTCCCTTTCAGATTTTTGTAAATCTAAAACTCGAATTTTCTGTTTTAGACTTCTCTCAGTAATTCTGGTCTCATTCTGTTATGTTTTGCTGGTGTGCTGTCAAAAACAACAACAACTACCAGATCAACAACAGACACAACAACAACAAGATCTGAAGACGGAAAAACCGAAAGAAGATCATTTCATCTTTATCATTTTCTTGTTTTTATCATCGTGGGAACATTATCCTTTGTTATGCCGTTTAACAGGTAAAAACACTTTGATAGCTATTTCTAACAACTAATACAATCTTTGATAGCTATTTCTAACAACAATTACCTTGATAGTTTTTCCTAACAACTAATACAAACTTTATTGGCTATTTTTAACAACTAATACGCTTTTTAATTACACTTTGATAGCTATTTCTAACGATAAATACACAGTTTGATAGCTCTTCCTAAAAACTATAATACGCACTTTGATATCTATTTCTAACAACTTTAACGCTTTGATAGAAAAACAGGTTGATAGTTTGTTCTCATACGCAATTTTTAACAATAACTTACAAACCTTGTACGCCATTTTTAACATCAATTTTATTAATATGTAATACATGCTTTGGTTATTATTTTCAAAATAAGATTCCGACTTTGTTATAATTATTGTAAATATTTAAAATCAAAACAGAAGAATTCCGAATTTTAACCTTTGTCATTTGGAATATTTTTTGGGCCAAATCAAAAAAAAGAAAAATAATCATTTTTTTGATTATTCAGGTGTGGGGATGGTTTGTATATTTACTTCACCAATTCTCAGGAAAAAATACGATTATTTCTTTCTTCAAATTTTTATCAATTCTAAAAAATCGTATTAGATCGCTCGTCATGATATTTTTTTAGTTGATAGCCTAAGATTGTTTGGATGCCTCTGTTGAAAAAAAAAACATGTTAAAAGAATGTCAAAAGCGTAATTTTTGAAAGTTACCTAAAAAGGTGTAGACGTTTGTTGTATCTTGTATTGATGGAGTTATATTTATAAATATATAAAGTAGTAATCTCTGTTTTGGTGTTTGGTTGTAAAGATGTCCGATCATAACTCGAGATCCCCTTGACCGATTTGCCTTAAACGTTGATTGGGAAACACGGTAGAACAACTGGAACTCTTGGTTTTTAGATTCTAGTTGAGTAGGTCGACTTTTATACGGAAAAATAGCTAAACTCGTAACTTAAAACCAAGTGTGGGTAAATAGGGGGAGTAAGTCTGAGTAGTCTGGGTTCCCAAGCTAGTTTTCATATAAAGTAGTAATCTCTTTTGGTCTTTTTGCATGTTTGATTCCCGATTATAACTTATGAACTCCTTGCCTCTAACTTTGTTTGGGGAACGCGGAAAAATGGGAAATGTTCTTAGCTTGGCTTAAAAATTCGAATTCAAGATGGAGTTGACTTAAATGTAGAAAAAGTTTAGGTTCTAGGTAAAGCTGGGTTCCTAAGCGAATTTATAAGAAATAATAAAAGTTTTAATTGAATTCTTTTATTGTTTATCATCATTATTTTCCTTATTGTTGGTATAGATTTTATTATAATAATTATTTTCAACATTATTATCATTATTTTGTTATTATTAATATTATCAAGGGGGAGGTGACACGAGGGATAGGAGGGGGAGGCAAAAGTGTAAGGAGGAGAAAGGGAAGGGGAAGAGGAGGAATGGTGTGAGATCCAAAACATACACGAATCCATTATAAACAGGGTTGCTCACAAGGATGAGACGTCAGAGACGATTGTACGGAATTGTTTAGTCTGTTTCCTTGCATTCAGGGTTCCTTGAGGGAGGGAATCCTTGGAGGCCATGAGCCTTCGCTAATTTTTTTCCTAAATATTTTCCTTTCTTCGTAAGAAATGTTTAAAGTTTTATATACAACTTTATTATTCATATTTAGGTATTATTTATGATAATTGATAAATAATTCTCATCTTTGAGAAACCTCTCATAAAACTGTGTCGAAAATTTTAAAAAATCTTTTATTTAAACTTAAAACACAAGTTTAAAAATACCTCCTGTATTACACAGGCGCATTTTCATGTATTGCGCATGCTCATTTCTGCGGAGGCTCATGGTGTCCGGGGGATCCCTCCCTCGTTCCTTGTAGGACAAAACTTGCTTAATTATTAAGTAAACTATCGAAATACTCAATTGAATGCAGAAACCAAAAATCAAGCTTCACATCGTCATTTTTTTAGAGTTTTGGGTTGTCTTTACAGTCTCTTCCTTTTGTGGGTGAACATGTTAAAGAAATAGTTATAAACAAAATCAAATAATCTAAGTTAGAAAAATCAAAGTTTTTCACCACCAGGTTTTGTACTTTATCATTCATGCTCAGGCTTTATGTCATTATGAGTGCTGGAACTAATTATCGTGCTACGTATGGAATGTATAAATAGTTGTATAGTACTATATCCATAGATTATTTAAAATAACAGATTGGACACTAGATGTCGTCTTTTCAAGATTTATGTGTGTTTTGTTCACAATTAACTCTGAGGCAGAAGCTCAAAAGAGTTACACGTAGACTCTCTCTCTGTCTTGTTCTGCGTTGACTACGCGTAACTCCTTAGGGTAATTGTGAACAAAACACACAGAAATCTTGAAAAGACAACATCTATTGTCCTATCTGTTATCTTAATTAAGCTATGACTATAGCACTTGTTTAAGTTCCATGATTTTCTAATAAGCCAGGATCTAACTTTTTCAATAAAAATAGTCACAGACTTAACTTTTTATTAGTTGTTATTAACACACCATAAGCTTTGTATCTATAAAGATTATAATGTCACTTAACATTTTTTAGTCTCTACAGAATGATGGCTGTGAGTTCGACTTGAAGAAGACTTTCAGGAACTTGATCATAATAATATTGTTTACATTTCAAACTTATCAACATTCAATTTGAAAATGTAACACAGTCTGCCTCAATAAACATCATCATTTCTTAGAAATCGACATGTCATCTCGTTCTTTATTGTGCCAATTTCAAAAAATAACCCCTATAGCCTGAATTTAAAATGAAAATGATCAAATCTGTAGAAAGCATCTCAGCTGGTTTAGCAAACTAAAAACAATATTCTACAAAGTGCGACGCGACGACACCGTAGAACTCGTCGACAACGAACAAATCGACACCGAGCCTCATTTCGATTCGATGGTCGATATTGAAATCGAAGACGACATCGACAAAGCTTTCAATGAGTATAAAACGGATAATGTAAAGGAGGAAAACAATGGCGGATTTTTTCTAACCACCATTTTGGTATTTTTCATAATCTTTTTTTCTTCTGTCACTTTTTATTATGAAAACTTTAACATTTCAGTTCCATTCTTTATTTTGTTTTTAGTTTTTATCATTCTTTCAATAATTACATCGATTACTGTTTACATTGTTAAAAATTTAAAAGATACATTTTTTCCATTCCTTACTGTGTTCACGTATTTCGGGTTTGTTGAATTTTTTAATATCGTTTTGTTGCACAGTTTTCTGTTGTGCTCTTTGTTAATTTGGACCGTGATTGGTGGTATTTTAATAGGTTTTCGTTTTTCGAAAAATCCGCAAAATGCGACCAAATCTGTAATTGTGGCTACTATTTCATAAATGTTACCGATAATTTATTTACTGTTTTATCTATGCATTTATCATATGTATTGTAATTTATATTGTAAAATATATATTTCTAAGACTTTTAACTAATGTTTTTATAAGTATAGAAAAGAATTATAAAACTATGTGTATATATACTACGACTATAACTGTTAAAATTAATCAATTAACCAATGAACATGATAAACAGAAATTGTGCAGTGTACACAGACCCGTTTTACTTTATAAGTTGATATTCAAAATAATTGTAAAACCTGTTTCTCTAAAACAGTATCATATAAACAAAAGATTACTTAAATGTCGTCTTACTATTCAAAAGTTTTCTGGGTCTTACATAACAAATTGAAATATTTTTGTTTAGTATTATAAGCAATAATGGTCTGCAATTTTTAACGTTTGGTTTTTAGAGATCTTCAAATTTTATAATTTCACTTAGTTATCAAAACTTTAAAATGGCTGAAACGTTTTTATTTTCATTTTCAATTTTTTATATTTCTTTTTACTAACGCTTTGTCAATTATTATCTTAAAACTATGATTTTGAAAGAATTTGTTTAATTCTTTAAAAATTACAGAAAATAGAATAGAATTTTGTAAAAAATTGATAGAATCTAAAAATGTGTTCAATTTATTTTTAAGATTGTTATTTTTTTTTATTTTAATGCGCAAACTTATTGAGAAAAACTAGAAACTTTATTTACTAATTTCATTTATTATAATTTCTTAATATGTACTAATTACCGTCCACATTTTTCAACAAAAAGATACGATAAATTATCTATAAATCACATTCTAAACATATTTCAGGGTTACCTATAAAGGATAAGACGGTGAAGACGACAAAGCATATGACGATTACGATGTCAAATTAAGTTTTTCTTCTTTGAATATATAGATGTCTTTTAATTGCCTATTTATTGACATGGTAACGAAAAATCATAAATATGAGGCAATAGACAGTATAAATTCTGTACAGTCGTCTCTAATATCTAATCCTTTGTGGGCCACCCTCCTGCATAACAAAAAATTAAAATATGAAGCCAAAAATTTAAGGAAGAAAACTAAGTACCACCTCCCTAAGTTGCAGCAACTGGGGGGGGGGGGGTCGGCCCCCCCCTTATATTCTAAGGACTTTTTTGGCGGTTACCGACGTATACAAGGGGGGGGGGCAAGGGGGTACCATAGACTTGTAAAATAATAAAACGTTGATTTAAAAAAATAATTTGAGTTAGTTTTTTTCAGAAGAGATAAAATAGCACTTGATAGATGATTTGACTATATGTATTATGTGCATTACAAGTTTCTTATATTTGCCTGCAGATATTCAAATCAAATGTTTTATATATATTATTCAAATGTTGCCCCCCCCCCCCATCCTCCCCCTGAAGCATCTAGTAGGAAGAAGGGATAGAAAAACCTACGCCATATTTAGAAAAAAGAACATAAAAAAGGAGGATTGGTTGCGAAAAATAAGCGCTTTTGATCGCTACTAATACTACTTCTATCTGTTGCGTCAATAAGGAGAAAATTGTTAAAAACGACTCATGCTGAAGAACGTAGCGTCCATACAAATTCAAAAAGTTGCATCATTAAACTCGGATTGTAAAATAATCAATTTAATTCCAAACAATTCTTTCAGATATTACAAAAAATAGTCATCGATTATTTTTCGACGCATTTATATAAAGTTAATATTTCAAAATATTTTGGATTTTGTTTTCTAAAATAATATTTCGCTGGCGCTGGATTTTCGAACACTAGTGGAAAATATGAAAATGTCGTCTTCGTTATCAAAAATCCTCGAAACAGGAATAAATTTTTTCAAAAGTTACTATTTGATCAACTATGTACGGATGCGTTCAAAAATTATCTTTGATTATTGGCTGTAATATCTGCAAGATTTGTTTGGAATTAAATTGATTTTGTTAAACGATCCGAGTCCTATATTGCAACTTGCAGAATTTGTATTGACGCTACGTTCTTCAGCATGATTGTCATTTTTGATAATTGTCTCCTTATAGAGGCAACAGTATATAAGTAAGATAAGTAGCGATCAAAAGCGCTTATTTTTTCACCGTAAGACGGTAAGCCTATACCCCTTTAATTTTTCGCGGACACTCCCTTTAAAGGTAGTCATGTGTTTGATATTCAGATCAAATGTCCGGAATTTACGATTAAGATTGTTAACCCTCTCCCTCTCCCATGCTTAGAATAGTATTTTTGCATTTTTTTTAAGCTGAAAACCTGAAATTTGATGTTTTGTTAAAAACAAAATAATTTGAGCTGTAATTATTTTATTGTTCTAATACCTAATAGTAACTTTTTTTTACTAGGATAAACTTGTTTATTTTTTACGTATTTTCCAAACTTGTGTTGTGTACTGCAATATGTAAACAATAGAAAGTAAACAAACAAATTAATCAGTGACAGGATAACCAGTGGTCAGAGTGGAACTGTGTTGCAGTTCTTCTCTAAGTAAGTGTATTTCGATTTGTTTACTTATATTCGCGATTTGTGCATTAATTTTTGTCTTGTTGTAGGAGTACAATTTTTTTTATTTTTTGAGTCCTTATTTCTCGCTTTTTTCACAACATGACCCTTAGCTTTGGTTTACGTCATAAATTAATTTTATTTGCGAGTTGTGGAAAGTGAAAAGAAACTTGTGAATTTCACTACAGTTAGACTTTTGGAAATTATCCAAATTCCTCCAAATTAATTCAAATTTTAACTTTCATTTTTGATCAGAACAAGGTTTCATTTATTTTCAAGGGTACTGTTGGAAATTGACGTTTTTTTATGGAGGGTGGCATGAATTAACAGTCTCTTCTAATATATATCAACTTTAACGTGGTTTATTTAAATGTGAATTGGTTGAGTTGGAGATAACAGTTGTCTACTATAAGTTCATAAGTATTTTTGCTGTTTTTTTCCAGGATGAAGGTGTTAGTGCTGTGCCTTCTTGGAGTTTCGTTCGCTTCGGAGAACAAACCGGTAGCTTATTGTTAGATATTTATTTTATTAAAGGGAGAGACCGGCTTATTTGAGCTGAAAGTGCAGTATCGTAGAGAATGTCGAGGATTTGATACCGATATATTTTTTCGTTGTACAATTTTTAAATTAGAGCGCAAACCGCAGGTAAAAATGTCGATTATCAAATAGTTTTTCTCTACAATATTGCAATCTCGGTTCAAATATGTTAACATGCCAGTCTCTCCCTTTCAAATGGTGAATTATAATAGGGATTATTACGTAGAAAAATTTTGAAGTTATTTTTTGATGCTCCTTGGAAGTTCTAATTTTTACCTGCATTATATATTGTAGAAATGTCTCTTCGAAATGAACAATTTCACTGGTTTGTAATTAGGATTCTTTGTATTTTAAGTTAGGGACAGACCTATTTCGGCGATTTTAATTGAGACTAAGGAATATATGTTGAATTTTCTTATTCCAGGTTCCTTTCCCTTCCTTGGCCAGCATACCTGCCTCACGAGGTTAGTTGGAAGTATTAAACATTTTAGAGCTGAGAAATATGTTGGGATACATGAATATTTTCGTCAACATCCGTATTGGGCAATTATATATATTTATTTTATTTTATTTCCTGTTTAAAAATTTAAAATGTTGATTAAAGTTATTTTAATATTTCAGGAGATCCACAAGCCAGGGCTGAATCAGACAAACCTGTTTTTAGTGATAAGGATAAGAGCAGTGAAAAAGGCAAAGAGGCTGACAGAGAAAAAGGCAAAGATGTTCGGGAAAAGGGCAAAGATTTTAGGGAAAAGGATGATGGCCCGGATTGGGGATCCTCTGATGGAATATCTAACTATGGCTATAGAGAAGGCTTTGGGCCTCGTGGTGGACCAGGTTATGGTGGACCAGGCTATGGTGGACCTTATGGTGGTCCAGGCTTTGGACCTGGTTATGGTGGATATGGCTACGGTGGACCAAGATTTGAAGGACCGGGCTATGGAGGACCTGGTTTTGGTGGTCAAATCCATGGTGGACCCGGCTATGGTAGACCATCCTATAATGAACCTGGATATGGGCCCATCCCTTATCTAGGAGGCAAAGGTGAAGTTTTAATGAATAATTAGATAAATTGATAAAATTAATAAGATTAAAAAATGTTATTTCTTAAGGAAATCTATTTTTGAACGAAGCTTTGCATGGTGGCAACAAGTATGGCCAAATACCTTTGGCTGGGGGAGATTTCAGTCTAGCCAACAAAGGAGTTTTAGGTATTTGTTTCTATTTTGTGAATTAGAGGCTAGTGAACTTTGAACTTAATTTTTAATCTTCACCCACAGAGTGTCTAGATTATTTTGAAAATAGTGCTAATTATGCCCTGATTTTTTTGTTGGATTTACTGCATCTGTCTGGTCAATTATTATTTATTTGTTAAGGACCCCTTGGACCGATTGCCAACGCAAACCTGCAGGGGAATTTTCAGCCTTTTAAGCAGTTTGGATTTGGAGGCTATGGCGGACTAGAAAATTATGGAGCACAGGTCAATTTTCTTAAACTTCTCACCCTTTCTGATGTGTAAAATGGGGCTTTGATGTTATTAAGGCGTACTCGTGAATTTGTCTAAGGGGGGGGGGTCTTAAATTTTATTTTTTATCCAGGGTACAAGGTTTCTGATTTTGATCAAGGAGGTTATAGTATATGAGTGATGATCACGCTAATCCTTTACTATATGACCAGGCCATGTACTCTGTAGTTTACTTCAATTTGTATATCACAGTACCCGGGGTTGATCTCTGAAATTATTTAAATGGAGAATTTGTTTTCATGTAACTAATAAAATCCACTACTCCATTATCGTGTGCAGGATTACATTTTTACATGAAGACTTACATTTACTGTCTTTTACATAGCAATTTTCATCGTTTAAATGGTTCTGAGAATTAAAAATACAACCTCCACAAACTTTTACTACAAGAGCTTACTGCAAATATGATGTTTGTACTGCATCATTAGGCCACAATCTCTTAATATCGGTAAACTATACAAAGTGTACACTCAGGCTAAGATCTAGGTTTTATGTTCCGATGAAACTCAATTGCATTGTATACTATTACTCAGGAATTGAACCAGTATAGATACAACCAGAACCGACCTCAGATTGATCCTGATGACCTGGATCAAGACGGTGAACCTGATCATTTAACTGCCACCAAACACAAGATTGATGAATACATTGCGAAACAGGTAAAGGGAGAGTGGCTGAATTCTCTGGAATCTTTAAAGTTTAAACTTTTTGTTTTTGCAGATTATGGTCCAGGGAAAATTAAGACTAGATTTTAAGTAACTTTCAAAGTTTATATCCTTTATCTTTTAACAGGTACTGTTGTGAATCAGATACGGTTTTCTAAAAATGGAGAGGTTACTAGATGCCATTAGTACCGTAATTTTGCGAAAAGAAATCTTAGTTTATTTATTTTAGTGGTTGCTGGGGAAACGTAAGCTGTCTGTTCAAGTGAGTTATGGGAATATGCCCCTGGAATACCAGTACCTGGGTCAATATCATGGATTCCCAAACCCTGTGGCAGGAACTCCATTGGCTAAAGTTTTTGGAGTTCCACCTCCTAATAATAACCAAGGGAAGCCTTTGATTAAAGATGGGCCTGGCTATGGAGCTCAGTCTTATGGAGCGCAGTCTTATGGGACTGGAGTTCAGAATTTTGGAGAGTCGGGTTATGGAGCAATGGACAACAATTATGGCAGTAACCAAGGTCTTTCTTATAATTCTGCCTCTGGGAATAACTATGGAGGGAAAATGGATTATTATGGAGCTTCACAGTCAAATTATGGAGCTTCAGAGCCAAATTATGGAGCTTCACAGCAAAACTACGGAGCTTCACAACAAAATTATGGATCTCAACAAAATTATGGATCTCAACAAAATTATGGATCTCAACAAAATTATGGATCTCAACAAAATTTTGGAGCTCAACAAAATTATGGAGTCCAAACTTCTAGTGGAGCTAATTACGGAGTTTCAGAACCAAATTATGGTCAGCAAAACTGGGGAGCTTCTCAACAAAACTATCCAGCCTTTCAACCCGTCTCCCCTCAGCCTAATTATAGAATGGGTACGCTCAACACTCAAGATGTCAATAACAACCAGAATGGTCAACCTAACTATGCTACGGGTCAACCTAACTATCCTACCGGTCAACCTAACTATGCTACCACTGCTAAACCTGCCACAAACTATGCTGATAATATTGCTTCCACTTATGCCTTTATTCAAGTTCCTCAGAAAAGAATGATGCCCTATTAATATTAAAGATTTTTAATTGAAATATATGTATTTAGATTATTGTTTGTTTGATCACTGAAGATTAGGGGTTTTTGGTAATGGTCACATAAAACTATAGGACTCAAATTGATTTATATTGGGGCCTTAACTAATCTGCAGAAAATTGTTTTCCGGCAGACTTTACTTTTTTAAATGACTAATCGTGATGTATTTATCGAGCCACGTCATGAAAAAGATATATGAAGGGTAACGTTTAACTATTTTCTTTTTTCGTGGATGCGCTTGCTTTTCCAAAATTCTGATCATACATTTGGTATAACATTTTGAACTTACGCTTGTACTAGGAGCATAAAGAAAGGTTTTTAACTTTTATTTATTTATTTTAATTAATTAAATTAATTATTTTAATTATTATTTAATTCATCTTACACAGTTCGTTATTTGATTTTTCTTATGACTTACGCATTTCTACATCCGAAACTAAAAAGTCAAATGATAGAATTTACTAGGTTAAGTTAACAAAACGATCACCTCCATTTTATAGATCAACCAAGAATAGGTGTCTGCATTTACAAAACTAAAAAAGAAAATTTTTTGGATTAAGGCTCTTAAATTGGATGAATTCTATGAATTCCTTAAGCTGAAAGATAGCGATTTTGTAAAAACTATTACTTTGTTGCGTAAATATTATGACGTTATATTTTTCAATAATTAATTTAAATCTGGTAGAAAGAGAGTTCAATCTTTAATAAAAAAGTAATGAGATAATTGCTAACTGTTAAAAAGTAAAAGGTTATTTGCATAAAAAATATGAGACGTTAATTTTCTTATTATACACACGAAACAATGAGTCGTAATTTCAACTTAAAAAGTGATGAATTCTGAAAATTATGTTCATTGTCTTTCAATTTGTTACTTTTATGGACTAGGGACATTGGAAAAATAAAATATCAATTGATTTAATGGCACAGTTGTGAATCTGACACCATATCCAAAAATGAAGGGTCACTCCTAATACCTGTAAAATAATTTGAATAAATTTTACTAATCTTCATGGTTTCCTGTAAGTTAATATGACTAAACCTAATTCTGTCACCTTCCATGCAAAGAAAGATGCAAATATCCTTGACATCTTTTATCTGATCATTCATGCCTTTTTTCTAGGGTTTAAAATTTGCCTGTGTAATACAAAAGGTTTTTTAAAACTTGTGTTTTAAGTTTGAATAGAATATTTTTTTAAAAATTTTTCGACATAGTGAGAGGTAATAATAAAGTGGCATTAAAAACTTTAAAAATTTGAATTGAATTTCATTTTATCTTTTATAATCATTGATTTAAGCGAAATTATTTTTTTGTAGTTCAAATTAAATCTAGAAAATTATTTAAATCTTAACATTTTTCAAAAGATAAACCACTGTTTAGTTCATTTATGTTTTTAATTATGATCGTGGAGGCTCGTTAACTGCATAGTGGAGGCATGGTCTGCATAGCGGAGGCATGGTCTGCATAGCGGAGGCTTGGTCTGCATTGTAGAGGCATGGTCTGCATAGCGGAGGCTTGGTCTGCATAGCGGAGGCATGGTCTGCATAGCGGAGGCTCGTAAACTGCATAGCGGAGGTTTGGTCTGTAAGTCTGGGAGGCTTGTGTCGGATGCATAGCGTAGGCAGACTGAGATTTTCTTGAAAATTTTAAAACGGACATGAAACAGTGCCTATTCAGGGGAGGAAGGCCAACCACAACAACTCCTAGTCCGAGCCACCTCGAAATCCTGGTCGTTTTAAACTTTTTTCTGTGTCTAATCCTTGAATATGAGAATATTAGGGCATAACACATGGTTAGGCTGAAGTTTTGTAATGATTTTAAAATGTTGGAATCTTCAAATCTGAGAATGATATGTCAAACTTAAACCTCTTCTGCCTCCAAAATGGCTAACTTCTATAACTCAAAAAATGTTTTAACTTGAACATGGTTCATAATCTTTCTATTTCAACAAATCATTGATTTCTGATATATTTACAAATTAGGCAAGTTCTCGTACGCGTACCAAGTCACTTTTGCCTGTTTCACGATTATAGCCAAGGAGATAATGAGAAAAATCAATATTTCATTTATTTCCTAACATGGACAGATTTTCAAAAAATATTCTTATCTTGATGGATTGGGCACTTCAAAAATATTTTTGAAAGAACGAGGATTTCGTGGTGGCTCGGACGAGAAAATGAGGAGAATGTGGCTCGGACTAGGATTTGTTGTGGTTGGCCTTCCTCCCCTCACCCATCATTACGAATGATGCGTCTTCGGTACTAAACAGGGACTTAAGATATACAGGGTTACCCACAAAGGATGAGAGTTCAGAGACGTGACTATAGAGTATTTATACTGTCTGTTTCTTTACATTTATGATTCCTTTCAACTTCAAAGTTTCAAACTTTTTTTTTTCTTGAATAAGCCTCAAGGTTATATTTAAGGCTCAAGACTGAATAAAACCTTGGAATCGTCAGATTTATAGAGTTTCTGGTCGTCTTTACAGTCACATCCTTCGAGGGTAACCCTGTACGCCAATGACGACCAAAACGAACGTGTTGTGACGCAAAGTGAATAAATACTAATGTGGAACAGACTAAGGCAACGACAACAGGTTGGGTCATAAGGTTTTATTTGGTTTGGAAATAATTGCACGAAAAGATTTCTTGTGGAAAGTATATATATATTATTTTTAAATACTTGGGACAAAATAAAATGTCGTCATCCAACTAAGAGTTTGGCCCACTTCAGTATTTAATCACTTTGGTTGTACCGATCGTTTCCTTTTTTTCTAGGATAAAGATTAATAAAATTTCATAAAGGCAAACTTAAACGAACAGAATACAGTTAAAGAAGTTCTCTTAATAATTGTGCGCCAAAATTTTACATTTTCTCGGGTTATGATTGGCTGTTCGGTTTCTACAATCGACACTCTGATTGGTTGCATTTATGACACAGATAAGATTTTATCTTAATAATAAAAGGAAATCTAGCATTATCTCAATATTCACTATCCTAAAGGACAACTAGCGACAAAAAAACAAACTAAAATTTTTTTTACCAGGTTCAAATATTTTTACCAACATTTTTCTCCGTTAGCAAATAATACGATAATTATCACTAAACTTTTGCTTTACCATAATTATTTAAGTTGTCAATTTATTTTGTTTTAATTAGTTCAATACAATTTTACAAATGACAAATTTAACAGCACATATTTTTATATTTTCTTGACATTTATTCGGTGCCAAAAAATGATAATCAAAGTTTTACAAATTTTCTGAGAAGTTTTCTCATTTTTGGAGCAATTAAAATATCAATATAGTCCAAGTAGAGGTTGCATACTGCATATATTAAAGGTGAGGGGAATATACAAATGTACAAAAACACCCCTCCCCTTTAGTATACACACATTGGTCCAAGTCAGCCTCAACAAAATACACAATTTCCGCTTTCCAACAAAATTCACAATTTCAACGTGGCAAAACTATTTCCGGTTTCTAAAACTATTTCCGCTTTCCAAAGCTCTCACTCAAAGATTTGGCGAAAAGAGCAGCAATAGCTTGGTTCACATCTCCATTGAACTTCCTAAAAAATATATTTAAAATAAAATAAATATAAATAGTAAACAAGGTAGGGTTTCCATGTGCCAAAACGTTTACTTTAATTTCAGGATTTGTTGAAACTAAAATTCAGTGAAATCATTTTCAACTATGATTTATCCCAGAAACCGCTTTCAGGATCAGTTCTGGACGAAAGAGCAAATTTGAACTAACTTCTCCTGAAACGTTACCTCAGCTCTATTAGACTGTTTTCTCGGCTGAATCCCATCTTCATTAGGTTCTGAACATCAGATTCAGGGAAAGAATCCTAAATATATTCAAGCATAGAATAATAAAAATACAGATAGAACACTAGATGTCATCTTTTCAAGATTTAGGGGTTTTTCTTTCACAATAACCCCTGAGGCAGAAGCTCTAAGTAGTTACGCGCATGCTTTTCTCTGTCTTGTCAACGCGCGTAACTCCTTTGGGCTTCTGCCTCAGAGTTATTGTGAACGACAAACCCCTAAATCTTGAAAAGACGACATTTATTGTAATACAGTTAAACTCATTAATATGAATACATCGGAAGAAAGAATTTATATTATGTCGCCTTTAATTTGAATTTGAAGCTGTCAGTTGTATTTTTCCAAGCTGTCCAAGCTTTACAGGGATACGTTTAGTTTACTACAATATAATAAAAATTTCTTTGTTGAGTCAAAGTTAATATCATGAATGAAAACTTTATATTTTTTTTTGTAAAGATAAATAAATAGCCCTGAAATACGAGACACATGTTATCCAACAGCTTCATAAAGTTGGGCGCTACAGTACATATTATATAATTCTCAGTGGCATAGTTAAGTGAAAAGTGATTAAGACGACATTTTTAAAATTCTTGCGATGTATTCATATTTATGAGTTTAACTTTATGTTTGTGTATTGTTATTAATCTATGTATTTAAGATTCAATTGTTTATTTTACATCACCTTTTTCTTCCTTGAATAATATGAATTTACAGGTTGATAAGGATTGTACAAAGAGCCAACATTAAAGGAACTGTAAGCGTAATTTCAAGTGACCCTCCATGAAAAGATGGCAATGCCCTTGAAACCATAATCTGATGAAAAATGTGGAAGATACCTTCGTTTCTCTCCACTCAAAAGTGCTAATTTCTGTAAGTTTCTTCATTGATTCTTAAAAACAAGTAATGCACAAATCTTTCGCAGAGAAACCACAAATGAAAAAAAACAGTTAAAAGAAACAAAAACATTGATATCGTATTCATACTTGTAAATCGGACAAAGGCATCTTTGCATGGAGGGTCACTTGAAATTACGCTTTTAGTCATTTTATAGCTTGATTACTGATTATATATTAATTCCATAGTGTAGACCGGGATGTTAAGTAAATAATTCATTTTGCTTTACATCTAAAGTTGGACATCGTTAATATTGCGTTTATCTACGTTTTTAATGTTTATATACGTTTATATACCGTTCAGATACGTTTAGATACGTTTATATAAGTTTATATACGTTTTTATCCGTTTTAAAACATTTATAATGTTTATATACGTTTATATACATTTATATACCTTTATATATGTTCATATATGTTTATATACGATTATATTCGTTTATTTATGTTTACATACGTTTATATACGTTTATATACGTTTTTATACATTTTTATAAGTTTATATACATTTTTATACGTTTTTATACTTTTTTCACACGTTTATTACGTTTTTTAGATTGTTTTTGGCTTTAAGAATGCTTCCAATATCCACAAAGACTTTTTTCAAATTTCATCTTATTTCAGGTTTAAAAAAAAAATGAAATCATGCATAATTTTGACTCTGACAAGAAGCCTGGGTCACTTGCACGAGTCACATTGAGAATTATAACCCCCTGTCCAGTGTTGAGTGTCCAGAGGCGAGAGTTCAGAGTTCGAGATCCAGGGATGAAATTTATATCCATCCTCAAATTGACACACGAGATAATGCAGTAATAGTACGTGTCTTAACTTATTTATCTTTGTAATTATTCTCTATGACTTCAACTAATTATAGATATTTTAGATTGAAAATATCGAAATACATATTTAATTTAGTCTTTCATGCTTATAATTAGCTGCATAGATCTCTTTAAACAGGCCGTATAATCGATTCACCGACAAAGGGTCAAACGGCCCAGGGTCAAACGACACAGGGTCAAACGACAAAGGGTCAAAAACGCGATAAAGGGTCAAACGACACAGGGTCAAACGACAAACGGTCAAAAAATGCGACAAAGGGGCAAATTTTTTTAAATTCTGTCAGTTAGTATTTTTTTATTATTATTTATGCTTTGGTTAGGTACATTCTGGGCCGAGCGCTGCGGCTAGGACAGGCTAGGGGGCCGAGCGCTGTGGCCACATGGTCAATTATATCCATTTATTTATTATTATTTAGGGTTAGGTTAGGTTAAGAATGTCGTTTGACCCTGTGTCGTTTGACCCTGGGTCGTTTGACCCTTTGTCGGTGAATCGTATAATCGCCTTTTATAGACTTTACACTGATGCTCTGCTAGGTCCAACTCCTGAGTTGAGTCAAATACCTGTGATGCTGGGTCGTAAGGTATTGCTGATATTCTACTAAGACAAGCTCCTTGAGATGAGTCAAATACCTGTGATGCTGGGACGAAAGGTACTGCTGATGCTCCACTAGGACCAGCTCCCTGAGATGAGTTGAATACCTGTGATGCTGGGACGGAAGGTACTGCTGAGTGCTGATGCTTCACTAGGACCAGCTCCCTGATATGTGCCCAATACCTGTGATGCTGGGATGGAAGGTACTGCTGATGCTCCACTAGGACCAGATCCTGAGATATGTCCAACACCTGTGATGCTGGGACGGCAGGTATTGCTGATGCTCCACTAGGACCAGTTCCCTGAGATGAGTCGAATACCTGTGATGCTGGGACAGAAGGTACTGCTGATGCTCCACTAGGACCAGATCCTAAGATGTGTCCAATACCTGTGATGCTGGGACAGAAGGTACTGCTGATGCTCCACTAGGACCAGATCCTAAGATGTGTCCAATACCTGTGATGCTGGGACGGAAGGTACTGCTGATGCTCCACTAGGACCAGTTCCCTGAGATGAGTCGAATACCTGAGATGCTGGGACGGAAGGTACTACTGATGCTCCACTAGGACCAGTTCCCTGAGATGAGTCGAATACCTGTGATGCTGGGACGGAAGGTACTGCTGATGCTCCACTAGGACCAGCTCCTAGAGATGTGTCCATTGCAACTTCAGACGCAGATCTACATAGATTTATAGGACATCAAAAGGCTACACCAAAAGTTTCAAGTTTGTGATATTAAACACCTTAATATTACTGAATATCAAATTTTAAAAACCACTCGTTAAAAGTTGGTTATCTAAAAACTTTTCATGTATCCATGCTCGTTTTTGACAAAGAACTTTAAACGTTCCGATCAGTTACCAGTTTTATACAGGGTGTCCCAATAAACATGGGAATTCAGTGACGAATTTGATATATAAATATTTCCTCGATTTATTATAGTGATACCTACTGAGAAAGCTGTAATCTGTAAGAGTTTCTTCTGCTATGTTGTTTGTTTATGTTTTGACTGTATACAGGTTGTGCTTAGTAAAACAAGAAAATTACAGTTTTCTAACAAAATAAACTTGTCCGTCTTCACTGTACATCTTGAAAAGACATCATAGACACATCTTTGCAGTCTTTTACCCTTTTCATAAAATAAACTCTTGCAGACATAATAATATTATGTCTTTTTATATTAGGTATTACAATGCTAATTCATAACAAAGACGATATCCAATTCGTCACTGAATTCCCATGTTTCTTGGGACATCCTGTACGTTCTTTCTTGAAGTTACAGCTTGTTAACAATCCCAACTATATTAAAGGTTGGTATTGCAGAAATTTTCAACGGTGCCATAACTTATCAGTTTATTTCATGCATTAATTAATGTAAAAATATCGCCAGAGTGACCAAAAACAGAAGAAAACATTGATAAACATAAACTCTTTATTTTTATTTCAGTAGTGGTAACAAATATAACTGTTATTTTTAAACACCTCTGATCGTTTTTCTTTGTTCTTCTTTTTTCATTAATGCTGCTTTTCGATCGCTTCCAATCTCCAAATTACCAAACATATTTTGGGATGAAAAAGATGCAAAATTGAATATTTTTTTAGTACGAACCTTGCCAGAGCCTCAGCAAGCTGTCTGTCCTCAAGACCAGCGGATTCCTTAGCAGAGGCTTTAATAACATCCTCCTCATTCACGTCACTGCTCAACCTGAGATAATCAATCAATTAATTTATTGATCAGTCAATCGATTATTCTATCAATACTTTAATCGATTTTTCAATTGATTAAATTAAAACGATTTTGCAATCGATTATTCATTGTCAATCGATTTTTCAATCAGGTTTTCAATTAAAAAATTCAATGGATCATGCAATCAGTCATGCAATCAATCATGCAATCGATCTATAGATCAATCAATTAATGAAAATCAATTAATCAATTACTTGTACAATCAATCAATCGTCCATTCAATCAATTACCCAATCAGTCAATTAGTCGAATCGAATAACCAATCAATAGGCAACCACGAAATCAGGAATTAATTTTAAACATAATAGTATACCTTGCACAGGCAGGCAGTTCTGCTTCCGGTAAAAATGGAGTCTCAGTTCCTAATTAAACCTTTCAATCAGATATTTGTACGCTAAAGGGGAATTAAATTTTCAAACAATGAAAAATAGTTTCATAATGCCTGATTCAAAGGTAAAAAAAAATTATTAAGGCATTTTTATTACGTAAAAAAGTATATTGCCTGACTGACGCTTGTACGTTTCAAAATCACATTCTTAAATCTATTTCCCCGTTCGTTTTTGCAAATTTTTAAATAATAATAACCAGCTAAAGTTCCCGGCCTTGCCCGTGGGAAAAATAATCAAATTCAGACAAAAAAATAGAATTTTGAGAGGAAATTGTCCAGCTGTTTATCCAGCTATAACTAACATATCTATATATAAATTTGGCTTGTTTGTCTGTCTGTTTGTTTGTACGTCCAAACCATAACGATATCTGGACATTTTCCGTATCTCCTGTAGCACTAAGTGGACGTCCATCGCTATCCGGACACGCTACCCGGACATTCCGCAAATTACTATACGCTATATAGACAAAAAATGGCTGCTGAAAGGGTACTGGCAAGACTGTTGTCTGAAGTGCTGACAAAGTTCGCACACTGAAAGCTAGGGTAAATCGAAAGACAATAATATTTTCGTTCGATAAACTATCTATCTATCTATCTATAAATCTATCTATCTATTCATCTAT